CACCTGACCCCGGATAATCCGGAATTTACGTAAAAATGGGATTTTGTAGGTGGGTAAGAAAATCTCACAAGAGCATTAAAATGGAAAAACTTTATTTACAAATCTGTTAAAATCCCGGGGGGACAGAATATCCCAGTTTTTTCAAATCAATTACACATCATATAACGTTATAAGCGAACCCCCCGAACATCATCCCCAATGGACACCGCATAAGGGTTTAGATACATTCCAGCAGCTCAACCCCTTCCATAGGGAGCACCAGATATACTACATCATTCCCAACTGATTTATTCCGGAAAGTATAGTCAGAAATAAGGCAAGTTCAGTTCGAGGTAAACAGAAATCCTGACGCGTTTCGTCCTAAGGGCTTCTTCAAGGGAACAGAGGGGATTATGTTCATAAATATCATACTTAACCCCATTCTGTCAGGTGTCTGCAGGCCCATTTCAGGAATTTGCAAAACCAAAGGAGCGTCCCATCAACTATATAAACATCCAATTGATGAGATATCTCTTAGGTCATACATTGAATAGATGCCCCTAGGGGAGTATATCATAAATTTACAGACAATAGAGAACTCCACCACTCCTCTCCAGCATGTCCCACAGAAACAGAACTCCCAATGTAGCTCAGGAAAGCTTAAGCAATTCTCAATTTCCATCAATATTTAGTTACATAGTTAGTCTGGCTGAAAAAAAAAAAGACAAACGTCCATCCAGTTCAACCATTAAAAAATAAAAAAGTTGTAATCCTACACCCACAGTGGATCCAGAGGAAGACAGAAAATCCCCCAGCAAAGCACGATCAATTTGCTCCTGCAAGGGTCCGCAAAAATTCCTTCCTGATCCCCCGAGAGGCAATTGGATATTCCCTGGATCACCTTTCCTATAAATGTTATATCCAGTTATATTCTCGTGTATCCAAGAAAGGATCCAGGACTTTCCTACAGCAATCCACTGACCTGGCCACAACCAACTCTTGAGGGGGTTCTATTCCACATTCTCACAGCTCTTACTGGTGAGAAACCTTTCGTGTTTGGAGATGAACATTTCTTTTCCTCCAGACGTAAAGAGCGCCCCCCTTGTCCTCTGTGATGACCTTAAAGGAAATAACTACATTAAGTTCACTATATGGACCACTGATGTATTATACATGGAGATCATATCCCCCCTTATGTATTATACATGGAGATCATATCCCCCTTATGTATAATACATGGTGATCATATCCCCCCCTTATGTATTATACATGGAGATCATATCCCCCCTTATGTATTATACATGGAGATCATATCCCCCCTTATGTATTATACATGGAGATCATATCCCCCTTATGTATTATACATGGAGATCATATCCCCCTTTATGTATTATACATGGAGATCATATCCCCCATTATGTATTATACATGGAGATCATATCCCCCCTTATGTTTATACATGGAGATCATATCCCCCCCCTTATGTATTATACATGGAGATCATTTCCCCCCCCCCTTATGTATTATACATGGAGATCATATCCCCCCCCTCCGATATGTATTCTACATGGAGATCATATCCCCCTTATGTATTATACATGGAGATCGTATCCCCCCCTTATGTATTATACATGGAGATCATATCCCCCCCTTATGTATTATACATGGAGATCATATCCCCCCCTTATGTATTATACATGGAGATCATATCCCCCCTTATGTATTATACATGGAGATCATATCCCCCTTTTATGTATTATACATGGAGATCATATCCCCCTTATGTATTAAACATGGTGATCATATCCCCCCATTATGTATTATACATGGAGATCATATCCCCCCTTATGTATTATACATGGAGATCATATCCCCCCTTATGTATTATACATTGGAGATCATATCCCCCCTTATGTATTATACATGGAGATCATATCCCCCCTTTATGTATTATACATGGAGATCATATCCACCATTATGTATTATACATGGAGATCATATCCCCCCTTATGCTATGTACTATACATGGTGATATCCCCCCTTATGTATTTTATACATGGAGATCATATCCCCCTTATGTATTTATATACATGGTGATCATATCCCCCTTATGTATTATACATGGGTGATCCATATCCCCCCCTTATGTATTATACATGGTGATCAATATCCCCCTTATGTATTATACATGGAGATCATATCCCCCCTTATATATTATACATGGAGATCATATCCCCCTTATGTATTTTACATGGAGATCATATCCCCCCCTTATGTATTGTACATGGAGATCATATCCCCCCCCTTATGTATTATACATGGAGATCATATCCCCCCTTATGTATTATACATGGAGATCATATCCCCCCTTATGTATTATACATGGAGATCATATCCCCCCTTATGTATTATACATGGAGATCATATCCCACCTTATGTATTATACATGGAGATCATATCCCCCCTTATGTATTATACATGGAGATCATATCACCCCTTATGTATTATACATGGAGATCATATCCCCCCCCCTTATGTATTATACAATGGAGATCATATCCCCCCTTATGTATTATACATGGAGATCTATCCCCTTATGTATTATACATGGAGATCATATCCCCCTTATGTATTATACATGGAGATCATATCACCCCTTATGTATTATAACATGGAGATCATATCCCCCCTTATGTATTATACATGGAGATCATATCACCCCTTATGTATTATACATGGAGATCATATCCCCCCCCCTTATGTATTATACATGGAGATCATATCCCCCCTTATGTATTATACATGGAGATCATATCCCCCCTATTATTATACATGGAGATCGTATCCCCATATCCCCTTATGTATTATACATGGAGATCATATCCCCCCCTTATGTATTATACATGGAGATCATATCCCCCCTTATGTATTATACATGGAGATCATATCCCCCCTTATGTATTATACATGGAGATCATATCCCCCTTATGTATTATACATGGAGATCATATCCCCCCTTATGTATTTATACATGGAGATCATATCCCCCCTTATGTATTATAATGGAGATCATATCCCCCCTTATGTATTATACATGGAGATCATATCCCCCCTTATGTATTATACATGGAGATCATATCCCCCCTTAATGTTATTATACATGGATACAATGAGAGTCATATCCCCCCCCTTATGTATTATCACATGGAGATCATATCCCCCCCTTATGTATTATATACATGGAGATCATATCCCCCCTTATGTTTTATACATGGAGATCATATCCCCCTTTGTTTCTACTCCCCCCTTATGTATTATACATGGAAATCTATCCCCCCTTATTGTATTCTACATGGAGATCATATCCCCCCGTATGTATTATTATACATGGTGATTCATATCCCCCCTTAATCTCCTCTTCTCAGTAGAGAATACCTTCATTCCTCTAAATCTTTCCCCATAGCTGATTTTCTCCATGCCTCGTATCAGTTTGGTTGCCCTTCACTGTAGTTGCTCCAGTTCCCCAATGTTCTTCTTGTGATTTGGAAGCACCAAATAACTATATTTAAAATATAAGAATCGATAACTAAGCCTATTATGTACCAATGTAAAAGCTTGCATCAGAAGACCCCCCCCCCCCCCCCCCCCCCCCCCCCCCCCCCCCCCCCCCCACCCCCCCCCCCCCCCCCCCCCCCCCCCCCCCTCCCCCCCCCCCCCCCCCCCCCCCGGTCAATGATTGATCTTTAGAATACTGTAATCGCCTTGTACAAGTATTCATCCCTTTTTTCACGTTTTTGTAGTGTTTCATCCTGGAATTTGTATAGATTTAGTTGAGATTTACAGAATTTTTTTTTTTTTATTTGATGCAGACAAAAAGGATTTTTCTTTCCATTTTAATATCCAATGTGTCCATCAAAGCTTGTTGAAGGGTTGCCGTTTCCATTTATTGGTTTGGTACCTTTAGGTTCCAAAGCTTTGCTTTTCATCTTTTATTTTTGTTGTGGTTTCTCCGTCTTGTTATTGAATATCACATTAGAAACAGCAAACTTGAGATTCCAGATAGAAAATACAGATTTTGTACAGCGCTGTGAAAAAAAGCTTCAGGTGGAACTATTCCTATAAGGCCCTTTTCACACGAGCGAACCGATGGGGCACTATTCCCCCCACTGACACCAATGATGGGGCACTATTCCCCCCCAATGACACCAATGATGGGGCACTATTCCTCCCACTGACACCAATGATGGGGCACTATTCCCCCCACTGACACCAATGATGGGGCATTATACCTCTCACTGACACCAATGATGGGGCACTATTCCTCCCACTGACACCAATGATGAGGCACTATTCCCCCCACTGACACCAATGATGGGGCACTATTCCTCCCACTGATACCAATGATGGGGCATTATACCTCTCACTGACACCAATGATGGGGCACTATTCCTCCCACTGACACCAATGATGAGGCACTATTCCCCCCACTGACACCAATGATGGGGCATTATACCTCTCACTGACACCAATGATGGGGCACTATTCCTCCCACTGACACCAATGATGAGGCACTATTCCCCCCACTGACACCAATGATGGGGCACTATTCCTCCCACTGATACCAATGATGGGGCATTATACCTCTCACTGACACCAATGATGAGGCACTATTCCTCCAACTGACACCAATGAATGGGGCACTATTCCTCCAACTGACACCAATGATGAGGCACTATTCCCCCCCACTGACACCAATGATGGGGCACTATTCCTCCCACTGACACCAATGATGGGGCACTATTCCTCCCACTGACACCAATGATGGGGCACTATTCCCCCCACTGACACCAATGATGGGGCACTATTCCTCCCACTGACACCAATGATGGGGCACTATTCCTCCCACTGACACCAATGATGGGGCACTATTCCTCCCACTGACACCAATGATGGGGCACTATTCCTCCCACTGACGCCAATGATGGGGCACTATTCCTCCCACTGACACCAATGATGGGACACTATTCCTCCCACTGACACCAATGATGGGACACTATTCCTCCCATTGATACCAACGATGGGGCACTATTCCTCCCATTGATACCAACGATGGGGCACTATTCCTCCCACTGACACCAATGATGGGGACACTATTCCTCCACTGACACCAATGATGGGACACTATTCCTCCCCTTGATACCAATGATGGGGCACTATTCCTCCCACTGATACCAATGATGGGGCACTATTCCTCCCACTGATACCAATGATGGGGCACTTTTCCTCCCAATATTACCAATGAGGGGTCACTACTCTTCCTCGTACTGACCACCATCCCTGAGGCCATGTTTATTCTCACTGATGCTGGGCCCAAAACATTTTCTATCCCCACTGGGCATACTCCGACCCTTTGTATGAGAGGTTTGGAGACCCCTGCTGTATGCCAAAAACAGACACAAGGGGATCCATTCCCCATCCATTCAGCAGATCGGTCTGTTTCCATCTGACCTCCGCATTGAAATCAGTGGTTCAGTGTCTGTGTCCGCTTTGCAGCAGCAGAGCGGACACAAACCTATCATCTGCCTGGTCAGCGAGGATCAGCGGAGAGATCCCCCACTGATTAGGGGGATCACGCTGACAGATCCACCCCAGCTAAAAGGGGCCTAACAATGTGATAAAAAAAAATGTGTTCTTTAGCGAGGAATAAAATAAACATTTCACATTAATAATTCTTCTCCCAAAATCGACGTGTGCTGTAAATCCGACATTGCTCCTGTTTCCTCCTGTTGGAGGCGACCACTTTTCTGAAGCCCAGAGCCCCTGAGCAGCAGTAAATCTTTAGGCTGTCAGCAGATCAGCTCCATACTTCTGGCACAGTGTCGAGAATAGAGAGCAACTGAGCACGTGCAGAGCGGGGTGAGAATACACCGAATTACTGAATGTTACACAGCATAGGCACTTATTTTTAATGTTTTACATATTTATACCTGCAGAAGGGGCCAGCCTGACGTCCTCTATCAGGACGGAACTTTCTGACTATAGTTCCACTTTCAGATAAATAATTAAAAAATGATCAGATGCCTCTTTTTTCTGCCCAGGGAACTGTGTGCAAGTATCCTAAAATAGATGAAAGAATGAATTCATTCCTGGTTTAGGGTCAGGCGGGACGCATGGAGTGGCCTTGGACTTCAATTGTTCTTTTTTTTTGTTTAACTGAAACTTCCCACACGGAAAAAAAATATATTATAAATTATATTCAAAATATTCTTCCCAAATATATTGACATATATTTGAAATACAATTTTGGCCGTATTCTCTCTCTCTCTCTCTCTATATATATATACACTGTATGTTGAAATGTGTTTTTTATATATTTTACAAAATATATGAAAACATTTTTTTTATATTCTTCAGATTTTTTTAACATATAAAAAAGTCATTTTTACATATATTTGTAAATGCATTCCAAAAAACGTAGATTAAATGTATTTTAAAAATATTTTTCATATATTCTGTAATATATAAAAAACGTATTTTTTAACATTACAGTATATATACCTTAGATTGTACGCCCCTTGAGGTTAGGGACTGATGTGAATGTACAATATATATATGTAAAGCGCTGCGTAAATTGACGGCGCTATATAAGTACCTGTAGTAATATATATATACAGTGAAGGAAATGTGTATTTGCTCTGCTGATGCTGAATGTTCGCCCCTCTCACACAGACTCCAGTCTCCAGACCCTTCATCCAATTGAAAATCTGTGGAGGGAGCTGAAAGTTCGAGTTGCCAAACGTCCGCCACCAAACCTTAATGACTTGGAGAGGATCTGCCAAGAGGAGTGGGTCAAAATCCCTCCTGAGATGTGTGCGAAACCTGGGGGCCAACTCCAGGAAACGTCTGACCTCTGTGATTGCCAACAAGGGATTGGCCACCAAGTACTAAGTCATGTTTTGTGAAGGGGATCCAATCCTTCTTTCCCTCATGAACATGCAGATCCGTCATCATTTGTTAGACGCATTTCTGCTGAATTTGTTTGATTGTATTCTGTCTCTCAGTGTTTACACCCAACATTCCATTGTTAGACCGATCATTTCTGTGGTGAGGGGCGAACATTCCATTGTTAGACCGATCATTTCTGTGTGAGGGGCGAACATTTCCATTGTTAGACCGATCATTTCTGTGTGAGGGGCGAACATTCCATTGTTAGACCGATCATTTCTGTGTGAGGGGCGAACATTCCATTGTTAGACCGATCATTTCTGTGTGAGGGGCGAACATTCCATTGTTAGAACCGATCATTTCTTTGTGAGGGGCGCGAACATTCAGCATCAGGGGGGAGCAAATACACATTTCCTTCACTGTAATTATATATATATATATATATATATATATATATATTGAAATATATTGAATACGGCCAAAATTGTAGTATTTCAAATACAGTATATGTCAATATATTTGGGAAGAATATTTTTAAAATATATTTCAAATATATTTTTCTTCCATGTGGGAGACCTGACATGTTTGGTATCTATTACTTGATGCAAGCCCATCTTTTACCAATAAAACCGGGTATAGTATTTTTGTAGTATAGTATGTTTGCTGGCGCTTACAATTCATTTTAGTTTTTTTTTTTTTTTTCCTGAAATGCACAAATATCGGTATTGTGACCTAAAAAATTGCAACTACCACTATTTTATTATCCAGGGTCTCTGCTTTCAGAAAATATATATACAATCATGGCCAAAAAAAAATCTCCCCCCCCCCCCCCGCATTTCTGTCAGACAACGCACCACTTCACCCAGAAAATTGCTGCCAATGACAAGTGTTTCTCAGCATTCTACATATTTCTTTCTTTGTTTGTATTGGTGGAGAGAAACAAAAAGTCAAATATGACCAATTCCATGCAAAACCCCTTAAATGGATGGACAAAATTATTGCACCTCCTATGTAATTTTGGTGGCGCACCCCTTGAAGAGTTAAGGAGGAAGTTCAATGGCTTACTGTACCCAACATTTGGAGTTTCTTCCACCTTCTCTCCTGGAATTTTGGGATCGCTCTTCTTAACCAACTGCTCCAGGTCTCTCAGATTGGATGGTTCCATTCCCCAACTGCTGGTATGTGAGCTACTCTCACAGGAGCTCTAGGGGTGGAGATTCTGGACTCATTGCTGGCCAGTTCAGCCCTTCTCCGCGCTTTGCCCTAAAAAACCATTCCTGGGGCTTTTTGACGTTTTGCTTTGGGTCGTTTTCCTGCTGGAAGGGCCCATGCCTCTGCATTGGGAGACCCAACTTTTTGACCCCGGGGCCCTCCCATTGCCCCCCCCAGAATGTCTTCAGATTTTTTTGGGGCCAAAAACATTCAGAGCCTGAAGCAGCAAAGCAACCCAAACATCAGTTCCCCCCACATTGTGTGACTGGAAGGAGGGGGCCCCCCCACCATGTGTGATTGGGGGGATGGAAAACTTTTCTGTAAAGGCCTCATTCTTTTTTGTAAACAGTAAAAATTTTGGGGTTTTTCCAAAAAATTTCCATTTTGTTTCATTTTGTTGCAGCACATTCTCCCCGGAAGGGTTTTGGCTTCCTCAGGTAAGTTTTTCAAACCCCCAATTTTGACTTTTATATTTCTGTGTCGCCCTGGGGTCCTTTTGGTTCTTCCACCATATTTCTGGGGTCAGCCCGTGGGGGCCCCCCCCGGGTCTTCCTCCCAATTTCTGTTGGGCAGCTGTGGGGGTCCTCCCGGGGCTCCCACCATATTTCTTTGTAGCAGTGGGGTCCTCCCGGGTCTCCTACCATATTTTTGGTCGTGGTTTGGGGTTCCCCCTGGGTTCCTTTCCCCCCCAATTTTTTTTGCTGTGTAGAAATGGGGTCCTCCTGGGTTTCTACCATATTTCTGTGTCAGAAATGGGGGCCTCCTGGGGGTTTCCCCCCTTTTTTCTGTGCAGCGGGGGGGGTCCCCCGGGTCTCCTCCCATATTTTTGTGTCAGGAGTGGGGGCCCCCTGGGTCTCCTACCATATTTCTGTGGGCCGCAGTGGGGTCCTCCCGGGTTCCTCCAAAATTTCCCGTGTCAGCAGTGGGGGCCCCCTGGGTCTCCTACCTTTTTTTATGTTTATTTGTGGGGTCCCCCTGGGTTCCTATATATTTCTGTGTCGTGTGGGGGGCCCCCCTGGGTCTCCTACCCCTATTTCTGGTCAAAAAGTGGGGGGCCTTTGGGTTTTCCCCATTATTTCTGTTTTCAAAAGTGGGGTTCCCTTTGGGGGATCCCAAAAATTTTTTGTGTCAACGTGGGGGGCCCTGGGTCTCCCCCCATTTTTCTGTGTCAAGCAGTGGGGGGCCTCCCTGGGTTCCCAAAATATTTCTGTGGGAAAGTGGGGTCCTTTGGGTATCCCACCCTTTTTCTGTGTCTTTTGTGGGGCCCTCCTGGGTCTCCTAACCAAAATTTCTGTGGGCAGGGGTGGGGTCCCCCTGGGTCTTTCCCACCCCGATTTCTGTGTCAGCAGTGGGGTTCCTCCCGGGGGCCCCCCACCAAAATTTCCTGTGTCACCGTGGGGTCCTCCCGGGTCTCCCACCAGATTTCTGTGTCAGCAGTGGGGTTTCCCTGGGGCTCCCAAACCCTATTTCTGTGTCACAATGGGGGTCCCCTGGGGGCTCCTACCCGATTTCTGT